CCACCGGCCAGTATGAGGTGGTGATGTTCTCGGAGATGCTCGACCAGTATGGCGACATGGCCGAGGTCGGAAAGAGTTTCGTCCTGACGGTCACCGTGCGCGAGCGCGAGGACGGCTCGGTCTCGCTGATGCTGACCTCGATGAGCACGCTCGACGAGCAGGCCGGCGCCGATGCGGCCCATGTGCTGCGCGTCTTCATGCGCGATGCGGAACCCGCCAAATCGGTGGCGCGCCATCTGCGCCAGAAGGGGCCGAGCCCGGTTTCGCTGATCCTCATCAAGCCCGACGGTGCCGGTGAGGTCGAGATCGAGCTGCCCGGCCAGTATGTGGTCTCGGGGCCCGTTGCCAGCGCGATCAAATCCGTGCCGGGCGTGGTCGACGTCGAACTTGTCTGAGCCATTCATGGTTCCTCCAATCCGGTTCGCCACCGAACGGCTGGACGTGTCTCCATGGGATGAGCTTCTCGATGACGCCGGGGCACGGCCAGGCTTCGTCGCCACACTGATCGACCTGCTGGCGCCGGAAGTCACCCGCCACCTGCCGCCGGCGTGGCAGATCGAACGCAAGCCCGAAGACATGGATGGCTGGATCGCCGCGCGGCGCGCGGCGAGCGCAGTCGCCTGTGTGAATGAACGCCAAGGCGGCGCGCTTGCCGGCCTGTTGGTGACCAGGCCGGGGTCCGAGGATGATGCGTTGATCGTCGGCTATCTCTTCAGCACCGATTACTGGGGGCGCGGCTATGCGACCGAGCTTGTCCGCGGCGTCGCCGGCTGGGCTGCCCGAAACGGCTACGCGCGCCTCGAGGCGGGCGTCGTCTCCGAAAACGCAGCCTCCGCTGCCGTGCTGGTCAAGACCGGTTTCACACGGGCCGGCGTCACCGGCGATGGCGTGGATGCCTATCGCCTCGACATCGGCTCCGGATGAAGGCCGCGCGCAGCCCTCTCGCGCAGGAATGCAATCATCGCCCTGGTCTTGAGCGGCAGATGCGAGCGGCTCGGATAAATCAGCCAGGCCGCCGTGTCGAAGCTGGTGGCCGTCACCTCATGGTCGGCGAACAGGTCGATGGCGCCTCCCGAAGCGAGCGGCCCGCTGACCAGCCAGTCCGGCACAAGCGCCGGGCCGAGGCCCGCCAGCATGGCATCGGCCATGGCGCGCGGGTTGGAAAAGGAAAGGTTGCCCTTGACGGGCACCTCAATGACGGGGTCGCCGGCGCCTCTCCGGAACAGCCAGCGGTCGCTGAAGGGAGAAAGCGTCAGGCGCAGGCAATCAAGTTCGCCGAGCGCCTAGGGGCGGTCCGGCCGACCGTGGGCATCGATCCAGGACGGGGTCGCGGCAACATGATAGCGCGTGGGCATCAGCCGGGTGCAGATGACATCTGCCTGGACACGCGGGGCAAGGCGAACCGCCAGATCGATCCGCTCTGCGGCGAGATCGGCATTGTCGTCGCTCAGGATCAGTTCAACCGACAGATCGGCAAAACGCGCACGAATCTCCGCGAGCAGCGGCACAATGACGATCTGGCCGAACGAGACGGACGCGCCGAGCCGCAGGGTGCCCGTAACCGCATCGCCCGCTTCCGAGAGCCGGGCGCGGGCGCCCTCGATCCCATCGACGGCATCTTGTGCCGCCGTCAGGAACAGCCGGCCAGCCTCGGTCAGGGCCAGGCTGCGCGTGCTGCGGTGGAAAAGGCGCGCGCCGAGCTCGGTCTCCAGGCCGGCAACTGCGCGCGACACGGCCGACGGGTCGCAGCCATGCGCCCGCGCTGCCGCCGCAAAGCTGCCGAGCCGTGCCACATCGCAGAAAAGCGTCAGGTTCCGAAGGTCCATTCATGCACATTATGCATGAACCAGGTGCGCCGCCACCGCTTTCGGCAGCCGGTGCCTTGTGGCAGGACAAGGCATGGACCAGAGGAGATCAGACATGGATCAGCTTGCCAGTCAGACAGCCATCGTAACCGGTGCCTCGCGCGGTATCGGCGAAGCCGCCGCGCGCGAACTGGCCAAGGCGGGCATGAATGTCGTGCTTGCGGCGCGGACGGCCGACGACATCGAACGAGTTGCGGCCGGGATCGCCGAAGATGGCGGCACGGCGCTGGCCCTTGTCTGCGACGTGGCGCGTCACGCCTCGGTCGAAGCGTTGATGGAGCGGACGGTCGAGACTTTTGGCGGCGTCGATGTACTGGTCAACAATGCCGGTGTTATCAATCCCATAGCGCGGCTTGCGGAATCCGATCCTGAAGCGTGGGGCAATGCCGTCGACATCAATCTCAAGGGTGTCTATCACGGTGTTCGCGCGGTCCTGCCGGTCATGGTCGAGAAGGGCTCGGGAACCATCATCAACCTGTCGTCGGGCGCCGCCTACGGTCCGATGGAGGGTTGGAGCCACTACTGCGCGACCAAGGCCGCGGTTCTGATGCTGACCCGCGCGGTGGACAGGGAATATCGCGACCTGGGCATTCGTTCGGTCGGTCTGAGCCCGGGAACCGTGGCGACGCAGATGCAGGTCGACATCAAGGCATCGGGCATCAATCCGGTCTCGCAGATGGACCCGTCCGTGCACGCGCCGCCCGAATGGATCGGCCGGGCCATCGCCTGGTTGGCGGGCGAGGGGGCCGACAATTATCTCGGCGACGACCTTCAATTGCGATCAGACGCAGACGCCCGCACCGCAATCGGGCTGCCGCCGGCCGCCTGAGGCAGCCGGCGCTATTGCGGCTTGAGAAGCCGCCGCAGCGAGGCGTCCATCACCTGCAGGAAACGCGAGCGGTCGGCCCTGGTGAACGGCGCCGGCCCGCCGATCTGCTCGCCACCGGCCCTCAGGTCCGCCATGATCGCCCGTGTCGCCACCGCCGCGCCGATCGAATTTTCCGTGAAGGCCGTCCCCTTGGGCGAAAGGGCGGCGGCGCCTGCCTTAAGGCATCGCTCCGCCAGGAGTATGTCGGCGGTGATCACCAGAGCCTGCCCGTGCGCGTGCTCGACGATCCAGTCGTCGGCAGCGTCGAACCCGTCGGAGACGATCACGCGGCTGATCAGCGGATCGTCGGGAATGCGGATGAAGCTGTTGGCAACGATCGTCACCGCAACCGCGTAGCGCTCGGCGACCCGATAAACCTCGTCCTTGACCGGACAGGCGTCGGCATCGACGAGGATCAGCGGTGCGGGCGGTTCGGGGTCCTGGCTCATGCGCCGCCTTATCGGCCTGCCGGCATCCAGGTGCAACCGCAAACGGGCCCGAGCGGTTCGGCGGCAAACGGGCTCAGCCGTCCCGCTGCGGACGGCCGCGATGACCGGTCCCGAACGTGTAGCCGGTTTCCACGGCGCGATCGCCGAACTTGCCGCGCAACGCGTCGATCGCCCGCTCGGCCTTTGCGCGCCGCGTTGCTTCGATATCGACCAGATCGTCCGGATCGGCGAGTGCGGGATGGGCGAAGTCGGCGACGCCAACGCCCAGAAGCCGGTACTGCGTGCCGTCCAGCTCGTTTTCCAGAAGCGGCAATGCCGCGCGGAAGATGCGGTCGGCCAGTTGCGTCGGATCGGAAAGCTGTCGGTTGCGCGTCTTGGACCGGAATTCGCGGTCCTTGAGCTTGAGCGTCACCGTCTTGCCGGCCAGGCCCTTGGCCTTGAGGCGCGCCGAGACCTTTTCGGTCAGCGACCGCAGCACCGGGACCAGCGTCGCCGCATCCCCGTGATCGTCGTTGAACGTCGTCTCGTGGCTGATCGACTTGGCGCCCCCGCGCGGCTCCACATGGCGCGTATCGTGGCCGCGCGACAGATGAAAAAGCCGTCGGCCCATCACGCCATAGCGCTTCATCAGCGCGGTTTCGTCCATCGACTGCAACTGGCCGATCCGGGTGATGCCGTCCCTTTCCAGCTTTGCGGCGAACGCCTTGCCGACGCCCCAGATCAGCGTCACCTTCTGGCGGGCGAGAAAATCGAGCGCCTCGGCCTCTCCGATCACCGAAAAGCCGCGCGGCTTTTCAAGGTCCGAGGCGACCTTGGCCAGAAACTTGCAATAGGACAGGCCGACGGACACCGAGATGCCGATCTCGTCTTCCACACGCCGCGCAAAGCGTGCCAGCGTGCGTGCGGGCGTGTCCTTGTGAAGGCGTTCGGTGCCCGTCAGGTCGAGAAACGCCTCGTCGATCGAAAGCGGTTCGACCAGCGGCGTCAGCTCTTCCATCATCGCCCGCACCTGCCGGCCGACGGCGGCATATTTCGCCATGTCCGGCTTGATCACCACCGCGTCCGGACACGCTTTCAGCGCCTTGAACATCGGCATGGCCGACTTCACGCCATGGATGCGGGCGATGTAGCAGGCCGTTGAAACGACTCCCCTTTTGCCGCCGCCGATGATGACCGGCCGGTCGCGCAGTTCCGGCCGGTCGCGCTTTTCGACCGCCGCATAGAAGGCGTCGCAATCCACATGGCCGATCGACAGCCGGGACAGTTCGTCATGGCGCGCCATGCGCGGACTGCCGCACGCCAGACAACGGCGCTCGGAACCGGTTGCCGGCGCCAGGCAGTCGCGGCAGAAGGCGCTTGAAACGTCGGCTTCATTCATCGCTTGAACATAGCACGAACAGGCGCCGCCGACGAAGGCGCGCAATGGTGTCAGAGGACATCGCCGGGACCAGGCACCGCGCCGCCCGACAGCCGCAGGCCGGCTTCCTGCACCCGGGCCGGTTCGAGCCCGTTATCGTCGCAAAAGCGCATCAGCGTCGGCTCGTGGGCGAGGAGGAAGTCGAGAACGCCGGCAAGAAAGCCCGGTTCGGTGGCCGCTTGCCGGATCTGAACCGGCTCGATGCCGCTCAGCGCGCAGAACCGGCTCATCATCTCGCCGTCGGCGGCAATCCAGGATAGGGCGGCAATGGCGACCGACGCGGCGTCGGCGTTCATCGCGCCATTTTCATCGGTTGCCGGCATCTGCGGTTTTCTCATCGCCGCCTTCGCTCTTTTTCAATCATCTGGCGCTATAGCCAAACGCGGACAAGCCCGGGCACAATGCGCCGCAAGGCGATTCTCGCACCGCCCGACCGCCGGATGGGGATGGACATGGCCAAGACCGTCATGATCGTAGAAGACAATGAGCTCAATATGAAGCTCTTCCGCGATATCATCGAGGCCAGCGGCTATGAGACCGTGCGCACGCGCAACGGCCTGGAGGCGCTCGATCTGGCGCGCGCCCATCGGCCCGACCTGATCCTGATGGACATCCAGTTGCCCGAAGTGTCGGGTCTTGAGGTCACCAAATGGCTCAAGGCTGACGACGACCTGCACACCATTCCGGTGATCGCGGTGACCGCCTTTGCGATGAAGGGCGACGAGGAACGCATCCGCCAGGGCGGGTGCGAGGGCTATATGTCCAAACCGATTTCGGTTCCTAAGTTTATCGAAACGATTAAGTCCTATCTTGGCGAGGCTTGAGCGCACCGCGCTCGCCCGTTCGGGATGGAAGACACATGACCGCACGCATTCTCGTCGTCGACGACAACCAGCTCAATCTGGACCTCCTGAACGCGCGCCTGACGATGGAGTATTACGAGGTGCTGACGGCGATGAACGGCGCCGAGGCGCTGGACACGCTCGAGCGCGAGAACATCGACATCGTCCTCCTGGACGTCATGATGCCCGGCATTGACGGGTTCGAGGTCTGCCAGCGGATCAAGGCCAATCCGGCGACGATGGACATTCCGGTCGTCATGGTCACCGCGCTCGACCAGATGGAAGACCGGGTGCGCGGCCTTCAGGCTGGCGCCGACGATTTTCTGACCAAGCCGGTCAACGAGATGCAGCTTCTGGCTCGCGTCAAGAGCCTGGTGCGCCTGAAGATGCTGACCGACGAGCTGCGCCTGCGCGCGCACACAACGCGCGACATCGCGATCGAGGAACTGCTGCGCAATCAGGGCAAGGCCGGCCACGAGCCTGCCGAGGTGTTGCTGATTGACGAGCGCATCTCGGTCTTCGAGCGGTTTTCCGGAATCATGCGCGGTGCGGCCCGGCTGCACCATGTCAACGACCCCAAGGCGGGTGTTCAGGCGGCCGCCGAAGGACGGTTCGACTGCGCAATCATATCCGCCGACTTTTCCGATTTCGATCCGCTGCGCGTCATTTCCCAGCTTCGCTCGCTTGACCGGACACGCTTCCTGCCGATCATCCTGTCCAGCGATATAGAGAACGACACGCTGATTGCCCGCGCGCTCGAACTGGGCGTCAACGATTATGTGGTCCGGCCGGTCGATCCCAACGAGTTCGTCGCGCGCCTGAAGACGCAGGTGCGCCGCAAGGCCTATCATGACGGGCTGCGGTCCAACGTCGCCGAATCGATTGAACTGGCGGTCACCGACGGTCTGACCGGCCTGCACAATCGCCGCTATCTTGACACCCACCTGGAAACGCTCGTGGAACGGGCGCACAAGCGCGGCCGCGCTTTGTCGCTTCTGATCACCGACATCGACCATTTCAAGGCGGTCAACGACACCCATGGCCATGACGGGGGCGATGAGGTGCTGCGCGAGTTCGCGCGCCGGCTGCGCAACCAGGTGCGCGGCATGGATCTGGTGTGCCGCTATGGCGGCGAGGAGTTCGTCATCGTCATGCCGGACACGCCGGCGCTGATGGCCGCCGAGATCGCCGAGCGGCTGCGGTTCGACATCGCGGATACGCCATTCGGGCTGGGCGAGGGCTGCATGGAAATCGCGGTGACGGCATCGCTCGGGGTCGCGACGCTCGACAGCGATGCCGGCGAAACCGCGGCGAACCTGATCAAGAAGGCCGACACCGCGCTCTACGAGGCCAAGGCCGGCGGCCGCAACCGGGTCGTGGCCAAGGCCGCCTGACGCGCACGGGGTTTTCCATCATGGCCCAAGCAAAACCGCCGGGGCAGCGCCGCCGGCGGTTCGCGTGATGCCGCAAGGGCCGATCGGTGAAGGCGGGCGCCTTACTTGATCTTGGCTTCCTTGAACTCGACGTGCTTTTTGGCGACCGGGTCGTACTTCCGCTTGACCATCTTCTCGGTCATGGTGCGGCTGTTCTTCTTGGTCACGTAGTAAAAGCCCGTATCGGCTGTCGATTGCAGCTTGATCTTGATGGTTGTGGCCTTGGCCATGGTCGATGCGCCTTGTGATCGGTACGGTACGGTCGGACAAAAAATAGCCGGCGCGCGCAAAGGGCCGCTCCGGCGTTGCGATGCAGATGACCCATCGGGCCCGGAAAGTCAAGCGCTTGTCCCGGTCAGGGGAACCAGCCGGTCGCCGGATATTCGATGATGCGCCGGCCGTTGCGCACCCGGTAACACGGCACCGGCGGATCGGTTGCGAGCGGCGGATCGTCGGCCAGCCGCGCGGTCGCGATGCGCATCACTTCGGCTGTGATCGCATGCAGCCGTTCACCGTGATCCGTGTCGGCGCGGTACCAGCCGATCGCCGACAGTTCGCCGTCTGTTCCTTCGAACCGCACCTGGCCGCGGTCGACGACGGCGAGGAAGAAGCGGGTGTCGTAGCGGCGCACCTGGCCGGGCGGCGTGATCGCCCGCGCAATGTAGCGCAGCGGCGTCAAAAGGGCCCTGCTTTCAAGAACAAGACCGGTTTCCTCCCCGGTCTCGCGCATCGCGCAGGCGGCAAAGGCGGTGGCGCGGCTGTCGCTCGCGCCGGTGCCCAGTTCGTTGCGAAGCCAGGCCATGTCGGCATCGGGGACGACCGGCGGAACGGGTAAATGGCTGTCGGCCTTTTCCACCCGTCCGCCCGGAAAGACACGGTTGTGCGCCATGAAGACGTGTCCGCCCGATCGCTCGCCCATCAAGAACGCCGGTGCGCCATCCGAAAGGTCCGCCAGAAGCAGCGAAGCGGCGTTGCGCGGACGAAGGTGGGGACGGCCGGACATGCGTGCCTTCAGCCGTGCTGTGCCGGATCGATGTCGGGATCGGCGACACCGTCCTCGGTGCCGCCGAATCCGTGCATCCGGTTGGCCCATTGGAGGCCGATCACCGCACCCTTGATCGGCGGGATCAGCGCGAACGCCAGGATCAGGGTGAGGGGAATCCAGACCGCAAAATGCAGCCAGGAAGGCCAGTCGGTGACCCGTTCGACCATCAGAAAGCCCGCAACGACGACATGGCCGACGATGAAGACGTTCAGATAGGCGGGCAGATCGTCGGCGCGATGATGATGCATGGCCTCGCCGCAGGTCGAACACGCATCGACGGATTTGGCATAGGAAGCAAACAGCGCGCCCTCGCCGCATTGCGGGCAGCGGGATTTGAGGCCGCGCCCGATGGCGCGCCACAGCGGCCGCCGCGGCTCGTGTCCGGTGCCGCCGAAAATGTGCGTGTCCATCGTCTGGCTCATCTGGTGTCCGAAGCTCCTATCGGCGTCTGCGGCCCCGGTTGCCGGCCTCGCGCGCCATCTGCTTGCCGCGTCCCTTGTGGCGCGATGTCATCGACATGCCCAGATCGCGCGGTTCGCTCTCCATGTCAAAGCGGATCGCGCCCGCCATCGCCTGCACTTCGGCCAGCCGCACCTCGACGGGATCGCCCAACCGGTAGCCGGCGCCGGTGCGTTCGCCGACCATGGCGTGCAGCGCCTCGTCATGGCGATAATAGTCCTCGCCCAGTTTCGAGGCGGGAATGAACCCGTCCGCGCCGAGCCCGTCAAGGGTGACGAAGAGGCCCGCGCCCGCCATGCCGGAGACGCGCGCATCGAACGTGTCGCCGACACGGTCGGCCAGATGTTCGGCGATCAGCCGGTCGACCGTGTCGCGCTCCGCACTGACCGCGCGGCGCTCGGCCGACGAGATAAGGCCGGCGATCTCGCGCAGCCGGTCGATCTCCATTTCGGGCAGTTCGTCGCCGCCATCGCCAAGGCCCAACGCCCCGATCAGCGCGCGGTGCACGATCAGGTCCGCATAGCGCCGGATTGGTGAGGTGAAATGGGCATAGCGTTCCAGGTTCAGGCCGAAATGGCCGATATTGTCTGGCGAATATTCCGCCTGGCTCTGCGAGCGCAGCACCACGCCATGCACCAGCGGCGAATGATCGGTGTCCTCGACCCGCGAAAGGATCGCGTTGAAGGCGGACGGCCGCAATTGCGCGCCGCGGGCCAGCGGAATGTCGAGCGTCTTGAGGAACTCGCGCAGCGCCTCCTGCTTGGCGAGCGCAGGCGCGTCATGGATGCGGAAGACCAGCGCCTGCTTCTTCTTTTCCAGCGTTTCTGCGGCCGCGACATTGGCCTGGATCATGCACTCTTCGATCAGCTTGTGCGCATCGAGCCGGGGCGGGACCACCACCTTGTCGACCGTGCCGTCCTCGGCCAAAAGGATCTTGCGTTCGGGAATGTCCAGTTCGAGCGGCTCGCGGTTTCGCCTGCCTTTCAGCAGGCACGCATAGGCGGCCCAGAGCGGTTTGAGGATCGTGTCCAGGACCGGTTTGGCGATGGCGTCCGGCGCGCCGTCGATGGCCTGCTGCGCCTGTTCGTAGGAGAGTTTGGCGTGGCTCCGCATCATGATGCGGTGGAAGGAGTGGGACTTCTTGTGTCCCGAGGCGTCGAACACCATGCGCACGGCCATGGCCGGCCGGTCTTCCTTCTCCCGCAATGAGCACAGATCGTTGGAGATGCGCTCGGGCAGCATCGGCACGACGCGGTCGGGGAAATAGACCGAGTTGCCGCGCTTTTGCGCTTCCCGGTCGAGCGCCGAGCCGGGCCGGACGAAATGGGCGACATCGGCGATGGCCACGGTGACGATATGGCCGCCCGGATTGGACGGATCGTCGTCCGGCATGCCGTGCACCGCATCGTCATGATCCTTGGCCGTTGCCGGGTCGATCGTGATCAGCGGCACGTCGCGCCAGTCCTCGCGCGGCGGCTCGATCCCGGGCCGTTTCGCCGCCTCGGCTTCGGCCAGCACTTCTTCGGGGAAGATATGCGGGATGCCGTGCGCATGAATGGCGATCATCGACACCGCCTTCTCGCTTTTCAGCGAGCCGATCACCTCGAGCACCTTCCCCTTGGCGAGGCCATGCCGGCCGGAGCGCGTCTCCGAGACCTCGACCAGATCGCCGGGCCTGGCGTCGCCCAGGTCGGCCTTGTCGATTTCCAGTTCGTTTTGCTTGCGCTCGGTCGGCTCGATCCGGTAGCCGCCCTTGTCGGTGCGGCGCACGACGCCGAGGATCGCTGCCTTCTTCCTTTCGAGGCGCTTGATGACGCGGCCCTGATAGCTGCCGTCGCCGGCCTGTTCGCCGATCCGCGTCAGCACGCGGTCGCCGACGCCCGGCAGGATGATCTTCGCGCGGCCCTTTTTCGGCGCAGAGATGGTCACGAGCGGCAGCGCGCCGCGTTCCTCGTCCCATTCGGCCGGCCGCGCGATCAGCCCGCCATCGGCGTCGCGGCCGGTCACTTCGAGCACCATCACCGGGGGCAGGGTGCCGGGCGCCGCAAGGCGCTTGCCGCGTTTTTCGACGAGCCCTTCCTCTTCCAGTTCGCGCAGCACATGTTTCAGCGCCACGCGCGCGTCGCCTTTCAGGCCGAACGCGCGGGCAATGTCGCGCTTGGTCGCCTTTTGCGGATTGTCGCGGATGAAGGCGGCGATCGCCTCGCGCGAGGGCGTGCCCCTGGGTCGGCCGCCTCCGCCGCGCGGCGGTTTACTCATCTGCAGCCGCCGAGGCGGCGGTCTTGGCCTTGCCGGCGGGTTTCTTCTTCGGCGCCGGCTTCTTTTTGGCCGCGGTCTTCTTCTTGGCGCCCGACGGGCCGGCCACCTTCTTGCCCGCCTTTTCGGCGCGCGCGGCGATCAGTTCGACGGCCTTCGCCAAATCGACGCTCATCGGATCGGTGCCCTTGGGGATCGTCGCATTGATCTTGCCGTGCTTCACGTAAGGGCCATAGCGCCCGTCATGCACGGTGATCGGCCCGCCCACTTCAGGGTGTTCTCCCAGTTCATTCAACGCTGCCGGGGCCGACCGTCCGCGCCCGCCGCCCTTGGCGGCTTTTTCGGCGATCACGGTGACGGCATGGTTCAGCCCGATCGTGAAGACGTCCTCGACGCTTTCGAGGTTGGCATAGGTCCCGTCATGCAGGACGAACGGGCCGTAGCGTCCGATGCCGGCCGAGATCATCTTGCCCGTTTCGGGATGCGCGCCGACATCGCGTGGCAGAGCCAGCAGCGCCAGCGCCTTTTCATGATCGATCTCTTCGGGCTTCCAGCCCTTGGGCAGGCTGGAGCGCTTGGCCTCCTTGCCTTCGCCGCGCTGGACGTAAGGCCCGAACCGGCCGGTGCGCAGCGTGATGTCCTCTTCGGTGAACGGGTCCTTGCCGAGCACTTTCGGCCCGTCGGCGAACGCGTCGGCATCGCCATTGCCTTCCTGGCCGAGCTGGCGCGTGAAACTGCATTCGGGATAGTTTGAGCAACCGACGAACGAGCCGAACTTGCCGAGCTTCAGGCTGAGTTTGCCGGTCCCGCATTTGGGGCAGATGCGCGGGTCCGATCCGTCCTCGCGCGCCGGGAAGACGAGCGGTTCGAGCCGCTCGTTGAGCGCGTCGAGCACGTCGGTGATGCGCAATTCCCTGGTCTCATCCACATGGGCCGAGAACTCGCGCCAGAAATCGCGCAACACGTCCTTCCAGGCCAGCTTGCCGTCGGAGATCAGGTCGAGCTTCTCTTCCAGCGAAGCGGTGAAATCGAACTCGACATAGCGCTCGAAGAAATCCTGCAGGAACGCCGTGACGAGCCGTCCCTTGGGTTCAGGCACCAATGCGCGCTTTTCAAGCCGCACATAATCACGGTCCTTCAGGGTCGAGACGGTCGCCGAATAGGTGGACGGCCGGCCGATGCCGATCTCTTCCATCTTCTTGATCAGCGAGGCCTCCGAATAGCGCGGCGGCGGCTCGGTGAAGTGCTGGGTCGCCTCGATCGAGTCGCGTGCGCAAGCCTCGCCCTGCCGCATGGCGGGCAGGCGCTTGTCGTCGTCGCCATTGTCGTCGTCGGCGCGCTTTGAATCGTCCTTGTGCTCTGTATAGGCGGCAAAGAAGCCCTCGAACTGGACCACCGAACCGGTCGCGCGCAGTTGCGCCTGCTTGCCATCGCCTGCCGCGGTGATCTCGACGGTGGTCCGTTCCAGCCGCGCCGACTCCATCTGGCTGGCGATGCCGCGCTTCCAGATCAGATCGTAAAGCTTGAACTGCTCGTCCGTCAGCGTGCTGCGAATGTCGTCCGGCGCGCGGTCGAAATCGGTCGGCCGCACTGCCTCGTGTGCTTCCTGCGCGTTCTTTGCCTTGGAGGAATAGTGCCGGGGCTTGTCGGGCACGAATTCGCCGCCGAACCGGCTGCCGATCGCCGCGCGGGCGCCATCGATGGCTTCTGGCGCCATCTGCACGCCGTCGGTCCGCATATAGGTGATCAGGCCCGCCGTTTCGCTGCCCAAATCGACGCCCTCATAGAGTTTCTGGGCGATCTGCATGGTTCGCGCCGGCGCAAAGCCGAGCTTTGCCGAGGCTGCCTGCTGCAGCGTCGAGGTGGTGAAGGGCGGCGGCGGGTTGCGGCGGACGGGCTTGGCCTCGACCGATGTGACCGAGAAGGCCGATGCCTCGAGCATGGCCTTTATGGTGTTCGCCGTTTCGCCGTCGCGCACGCCCATCTTGGTCAGCTTTTCGCCGTCGAACCCGGTCAGGCGGGCAACGAACGGCGCATCGGCCGCCGTCTTGAGATTGGCCAGGATCGACCAGTATTCCTCGGGCTTGAACTGTTCGATCTCGGTTTCCCGGTCGCAGACAAGACGCAGCGCCACCGACTGCACCCGCCCGGCGGAGCGTGCACCGGGCAGCTTCCGCCAAAGGACGGGAGAGAGCGTGAAGCCGACAAGATAATCGAGCGCGCGCCGCGCCAGATATGCGTCGACCAGCGGCCCGTCGATCTCGCGCGGGTTGGCAATCGCATCGAGCACCGCCGCCTTGGTGATCGCGTTGAAGACGACCCGCTTGACCGGCTTGTCCTTGATCGCCTTTTTCTTGTTGAGCACTTCCAGCACGTGCCAGGAGATCGCCTCGCCCTCGCGGTCGGGGTCGGTCGCGAGAATAAGGCCGTCGGCCGACTTAACGGCGGCGGCGATCTCGTTGAGCCGCTTGTTGGACGCCGTGTCGACCTGCCATGACATGGCGAAGTCTTCGTCGGGCTTGACCGAACCGTCCTTGGCCGGCAGGTCGCGCACATGGCCGAACGAGGCCAGCACCTTGTAGCCGGACCCCAGATATTTGTTGATGGTTTTCGCCTTGGCGGGCGATTCGACGACGACGACTTCCATGGATGATCCATTCCGGAAAGAGGCCAGCGCGCAGGGCGCGGCGGGCATGGACATGGCGGCATGAAGGCGCCGGGTCAAGGGCGGACGCGGCGTTTTGTATCTCCCGACGGCCTGTCGGCGTGCGGGAAAATACACGCTTTACGAGTATAATTTCCGGAGTATCGCTTGTTTTGCAACTTATGGTGATCTATCTTCGCGCCAAGCCGCTTTTTTCTTTCCGCGTCGCGCCAGGAGCATTCAGTGCCAGACAATCATCGCGAAACGCGTGCCGACAGACTTGGCTATATTCAGTCGATGCTCGGTCAATTGCGGACGATGGCCGAGGCCGAGCGTTGCGACCTTCTGACCTACCTGATCGAGATGGCCTATATCGAGGCCAGCGATGCCATGCGCGGCCAGCAGCCGTCACGGGGCGGGGACAAGAAGCGAGACACGGTTGCCTGAATGCCGCTCGATGCGGCCGGCAAGGTCCAGTTCCATGATGATCAGGAACATCTGCGGTGCGCCCAGCCCCGCTTCGACAATCAGTTCATCGACGGCCACCGGGGTCGGTCCCAAAAGGGCCAGCACCTTCTCGCGCGCGTCGTCGTCGGGCGGCAATGCCATCATCGCGGTCAACTCCATGGGCGCTGGCGGCGGCTGGTAGAACTCGGCGGCCGGATCGAGCGGGCTGATCGCTTCGATCACGTCGTCGGCCGACCGTACCAGCGTGGCGCCGTCGCGTATCAGCGTGTTGGTGCCGTGTGCACGCGGATCGAGCGGTGAGCCGGGAACCGCAAGGACGAGCCGCCCCAGTTCTCCGGCCAGCCGCGCCGAAGTCAGCGAGCCGGACCGTGCGGCTGCTTCGACGACCACCAGCGCCATCGACAGGCCGGCGATCACCCGGTTGCGGCGTGGAAAGTCCTTGGCGCGGGGCTGCCAGCCAAACGGCATCTCCGTGATCGAGCAACCCTTGCCCTCCCGCTCGATCCGCGCCAGCAGATCGACGTTCTCGGGCGGGTAGGGCTTGTCGGGGCCGCCGGCCAGGACCGCGATTGTTCCCGTCGCAAGCGCCGCCTCGTGCGCCGCACCGTCAATGCCGCGGGCAAGGCCCGAGACGATGGCGTGCCCCTGTTCGCCCAGCTCCGAAGCCAGGCGGCGCGCCATGGTCAGCCCGGCCATCGATGCATTGCGCGACCCGACGATGGCGACAGCCGGCGTCTGCAAGACGCTTGGTTCGCCGGTCACGGTCACCAGCGGCGGTGCCTGGTCGGCAAGACGCAAGAGCGGCGGATAGTCCGGCTCGCCGATGCCGATCAGGCGCGCGCCATGGGCGGCGATGGCCTCCAGCTCGGCCGCAGCTTCCTCTTCGGACGGAATGTGCGGGTGGCGCCGGCGCCCACCGCGCGTCGACAGTTCCGGCAGCATGGCGAGAGCCTGTTCGGCCGACCCGCAATGGTTGATCAGGTCACGGAAGGTGGCCGGCCCGACATTTTCCGCGCGCCAAAGGCGCAGCCATGCCAGCCTCTGCCGGTCCGACAACACGAAGCGAACCGCCTGTGGCTCGGTATCGGCCTGGCCGTCCTCCGGCACGCCTGGTCTCCCGTCATCCCTTTTGGCCGATCCGGCTCTCGGTGCCCTCGCGCAGCCGCGCAATATTGGCGCGATGCTTGAAGAACACCAGAGCGGTCAGGCCGACATAAAGCCAGCCCAGCATGTTTTCGCCAAGGATGAACAAAGTAAATGTGGTCACGCAGACGCCGACAAGCGCGGCCAGCGACGAATAACGCGTGATGAAAGCCGTCAGCAGCCATCCGGCGGCGAACGGCAACAGAACCATCCAGGAATAGCCCAGCGATATACCGGCGAAGGTCGCAACGCCCTTGCCGCCGCGAAAGCCCAGCCAGACGGGGTAGAGATGGCCGACAAAGGCGCCGAACCCCGCCGCCATCGCCGCCTCGGTGCCGAAGGCCTTGGCGATGAGAACCGGCGCCAGCCCCTTGAGCGCATCGAGCAGCAGGGTCAGCGCGGCAAGGCCCTTGTTGCCGGTGCGCAGCACATTGGTCGCGCCGATATTGCCCGAGCCGATCGATCGTATGTCGCCCAGCCCGGCCAGGCGCGTCAGAATCAGGCCGAACGGGATCGAGCCGCACAGATATCCGCCGACAAGCGCAGCCAAAGCGGTCAGAAGGCTGAATTCACCGATCGTGTCCATCACATCCTCCCGGCGCGGTGCCGATCATGCCGCAAAGACCGTGCGTCCGGCAACGACGGTTCGCACCGAGCGCCCGGTCAGGCGGGCTTCGTCGAAGGCGGTGTTTTTCGACAGCGACCGCAATTGCGCCGCATCGAGAACGAAGGGCTCGTCGATATCGATGACGGCGAAATCCGCCGGCGCACCCGGGCGCAGCGTGCCGGCATCGAGCCCGAGCCGGCGCGCAGGCGCGGTGCTCATCGCCTCGATCAGGCGCGGCAGCGGCACGTCGCCCGAATGATGCAGGCGCAGCGCCGCGCTGAGCAGCGTCTCGAGGCCGACCGCGCCGTCCTCGGCCTCGGCGAAGGGCAGGCGCTTGGTGTCGACATCCTGCGGGTCGTGGTCCGAGCAGATCGTGTCGAGCGTGCCGTCATTGAGAGCGGCGATCATCGCCTGCCGGTCGTCTTCGTGGCGCAGCGGCGGCGACAGTTTGAAGAAGGTCCGGTATTCGCCGATATCGTTCTCGTTCAGCGTCAGATGGTTGATCGACACCCCGGCCGTCACGTCAAGCCCGTCGGCCTTGGCCCGGCCGATTGCGTCGGCGGCTGGCGCGCACGAAATCTTCGCCGCATGATAGGCCGCGCCGGTCAGGCGGGCAAGGCGCAGATCGCGGTCGAGCGGCAGGAGTTCGGCTTCGCGCGGGATGCCGGGCAGCCCCAGAAGGCTGGCGAACAATCCTTCATTCATCACGCCCGCGCCGGCCAGATCGGCGTCGCGCGTGCAATGATCGATCACCGCGTCGAAATCGCGCGCATAGGTCATCGCGCGCCGCATCACCGCGGCATTGGCGATGGTCTTGCGGCCCTCGGTGAACATGACCGCGCCGGCACCGCGCAGATTACCCATTTCGGTCATTTCGGCGCCGCCAAGGCCGATGGTGATCGCCGCCGCCGGATGGACACGCACGGCGCCGGTTTCGCGCGCCGTGCGCAGCACGAATTCGACCAGCGCGACATCGTCGATGACCGGGCTCGTGTCCGGCATCATCACGATCGAGGTGACACCGCCCGCCGCCGCCGCTTCGCAGGCCGACGCAATCGTCTCGCGATGCTCGCCGCCCGGTTCGCCGATATGGACGCGGTTGTCGACGAGGCCCGGCACGACGGTCAGCCCGGTGCAGTCGATGCGTGTCGCACCGTCCGGCAATCCCTGGTTGCGCGCGCCCGCACCGCATGCGGCGATCACGCCGTCGGTGACGATCAGCGTGCCGGTCTCGTCGATGCCGCGCGACGGATCGACAATGCGGGCATTGTCATAGACCGATGTTCCCGTGGCGGGCGTCATGGCGCCACCGCCTCGTTCCGGCGCGGATCGAGCAGCGCTTCCATCACCGCCATGCGCACGGCGACGCCCATCTCCACCTGTTCCTCGATCACCGACTGCGGCCCGTCGGCAATCTCCGAGGCGATCTCGACCCCGCGGTTCATCGGCCCCGGATGCATGACCAGACAATCGGGCCTGGCATGGGCGAGCTTGGCCGCATCGAGCCCGTAATGGCGGAAATATTCGCGCACGGACGGCACGAACCCGCCGGCCATGCGCTCGCGCTGAAGGCGCAGCATCATGACGACATCGGCGTCGCGAATGCCGTCCTCCAGCCGGACATGATGTTCGGTGCCCATCTCTGCAATCCCCGCCGGCATCAGCGTCGACGGCCCGACGGCGCGCACCCGCGCGCCCATCGTGTTCAAAAGGATGATGTTGGAGCGCGCGACGCGGCTGTGCAGGATGTCGCCGCAGATCGCCACCGTCAGCCCGTCGAGCCGCCCCTTGTGACGCCGGATCGTCAGCGCGTCGAGCAGCGCCTGGGTCGGATGTTCGTGCGCGCCGTCGCCGGCATTGATCACCGCGCAGCCGACCTTGCGGGCAAGCAGCGCGGCGGCGCCGGCAGCGCCGTGACGGATCACCAGAATGTCCGGATGCATGGCGTTCAGCGTCATCGCCGTGTCGATCAGCGTTTCGCCTTTTTTGACCGAGGACGAGGCGACCGCCATGTTCATCACATCGGCGCCGAGCCGCTTGCCGGCCAGTTCGAACGAGGCCTGGGTGCGTGTCGAGGCTTCGAAGAAAAGGTTGATCTGCGTCAGCCCGCGCAGCACGGCCTTCTTCTTTTCGCGCTGGCGCGAGATATCGACGGCTTCGTCGGCCCGGTCGAGCAGGGTTGCGATGTCCGGATAGTTGAGCCCGGCGATCCCCAGAAGGTGCCGGTGGCCGTACAGAGGGTGGTCTGCGGATGCTGTCATGCTGAATGTGCCGCTTAAGCGCAATCGGTGCCGGTCGCAAGCGAGCGGGCGCGCGATCACAGCTTTTTGGGTGGCCATTCGCAGTGTGCGGCCGATGGGCTAGGCTGCAGCCGACAACCGGAATCACCATGCGGGATGCTGCCGTGAACACCTCGCCGACCCATGCCGTCACCAATCAGCCGCCGCCGCGCGCCGGCGGCAACGCCTATCGCGACGATCCGCTGCTTCTGGCCCTGACCAAGGCGATGAGCGGCGAGACGGTGCGCGAACTGGACCAGATCGGCCGCTATGTTCTGGCTCCCGAAGCGCTCGATCTGGCGCGGCTCGCCAACGAATCCCCGCCGCGTTTGAGGACCCATGACCGCCAGGGACGCCGCATCGACCAGGTCGAATTCCATCCTGCCTGGCACGCGCTGATGCGGCGCTCGGTCGGCTGGGGCCTGTCCAGTTCGGTCTGGGAGGAAGGGCCGCGCAAGGCCGGCAATGCCCATGCCACGCGCGGCGCGCGGTTTTTCATGATGGCGGGGCTCGAAACCGGCCATCTGTGCCCGCTCACCATGTCCAGTGCCGCCATGGCCGCGCTGATGGTCTCACCGCAGCTTGCGCGCGAATGGGGCCCGCGCCTGATGACCCGCCAATATGACAGCGCCAACCGCGCACCGGTCGAAAAGGCCGGCCTTCTGATCGGCATGGGCATGACCGAAAAACAGGGCGGCAGCGACCTGTCGGATCTTTCGAGCCGCGCCGAACCCGCCGGCAACGGGCTCTACCGGCTGACCGGCCACAAATGGTTCATGTCGGCTCCCATGTGCGATGCCTTCCTGATGCTGGCGCGTACGGCAAACGGCATATCGTGTTTCCTCGTGCCGCGTTACCTGGCCGGCGGCGAGCGCAACGGCCTTGCCTTCCAGCGCCTCAAGGACAAGCTCGGCAACCGGTCCAACGCGTCGTCCGAGGTCGAGTTTTCCGGCGCGATCGGCCAGCTTGTGGGTGAAGAAGGCCGCGGCATCAGGACGATCCTCGAAATGGTCACGCTGACCCGCCTCGATTGCGCGCTGGCCTCGGCGGGCCTCATGCGGTCGGGGCTCGCCGAAGCCGTCCATCATGCCCGGCATCGCAAGGTGGCCGGCGGCGCGCTCGTCGACAAACCGCTGATGACGCGGGTTCTTGCCGACATGGCACTCGATGTGGCGGCGGCGACGGCCCTGTCGTTCCGGCTGGCGCGCTCGTTCGATGGCGCCGGCGGCGATGCGGCCGAAGGCGCCTTTGCCCGGGCGATGACGCCGGCAATCAAATACTGGGTCTGCAAGACCGCGCCGCCACTCCTCGCCGAGGCGATGGAGAGCCTTGGCGGCAATGGCTATGTCGAGGAAGGCATTCTGGCCCGGCATTTTCGCGAGGCTCCCGTCAACGCGATCTGGGAGGGCTCGGGCAACATCATGGCGCTCGACGTCATGCGCGTTCATGCGCGCTCGCCCGAAACGTTCGATGCCATCGTCGACGGCCTGTCTCACGATCTGGGCAAGGCCGGCACGCGCACGATCGAGGTGGTGCGGGCGGCACTGGCGCTGGCCGCGCGCGACGAAGGCGCGGCCCGGATCGCCACCGAACAGCTGGCGCTGGCTGCCGCCGCCGCCGAGTTGCGGCGCCTGGGCATGGGCGCGCTCGCCGATGCGTTTGCCGAGACCCGGCTTGGCGGCGCCTGGCGGGCAACTTACGGCATGCTGGACGCGCGGTTCGACGCGCGCGCGATCCTTGACGCGCTCTATGTCCCGGCCAGTTGAGCGGTGATCGCCAGAACGGCGGGGATCGACAGGAAGGCGATGGCCGTTTGCACGGTCACGGCAGCCGCATAGGCTTCCGCGTCGCCGCCCATCTCGCGCGCCAACACATAGCCGTTCATCGCCGTCGGCACGGCGGCGCACAGCGCCAGATAGTGCAGCTCGAGACCGTCAATGCCCATCAGGATCGCCAGCCCGATCATCAGCACCGGCAGGACGGCAAGCTTGAGGACGGAGGGTGCGATGACGGCCCATCCGGTCAGCATCCGCACATTGCCCTTCAGGCCGGCGCCGATGGCCAGTAGACCCATGCCGAGGGCGGCACGACCGACCAGATGCAGTGCGTCCATGATCGGGCCGGGCAGGGGAAAGGGCAGCAGCCGGACGATGATCGCCAGCGCCGTGCCGACGATAAGCGGGTTTACGGCGACTTTGCGCAGCGTCGCGCCAAGGCTCGGCTTGGCGTTGGTGAACCATGCGACCACCGAGACCGTCGCCACATTGATCGGGATGATCACCACCGCCATGGCGAGCGCGACCATGGCCGCTCCTTCGGGCGGAAACAGCTTTTCGGCAACGGCGAGCGCGATGAAGCCGTTCCAGCGGATCGATGCCTGAAAGACCGATGAGTAGGTCGGACGCGACAGGCCCTGCCGGCGCAGCAGCGGCCACAATGCGAGCGCCAGGAACCCCAGAACCGTCACCGCCGCCAGAAGGACAAACATCGCCGTGCCGAGCGACAGTCCGGAAAAGTCGGCGCGCACGATCGTGGTGAACAACAGCACCGGATAAAGGACGTAGAACCCCATCCGGTCGAGGCCGCGCCAGAAGTCCGGCTGGAAAAGGGGCAGGCGTTTCAAGCCATTGCCGGCGAAGATGAGAATGAAGATCGGTGCGATGGAGGCGAAGATGGCGGCCATGATGGCCGCTCCTTACGCCTCGGTGCCGTTTCCCGCAACGCATGCCGAGTCGCCCCCGAGAGGGTCCGCGGCGCGTTAACCCTAACAAATGGTTTCATTTGTCTGTCGCGTTGCGCTGATCGATAGTGCCATGGGCACAAGCGACGGGCGGAGAGCGGATGCGCTATGTATTTTGGTTCTGGTTTGTGCCCATGGGTTTCCTGTGGAGCTGGTTTTTCCTGTCGTATCACGACATCAGCTTCGGCCTGCGCTTCTTCTCCCGCCAGACCCATGACCTCGTCTTCCTGATCTATGGCCACGTCCTCGGCGTGGAAAAGGATGTCGTCGTCCAGCTTCTGGTCAAGGCGTGCATCGTCGACACGTTCCTGATCATGGGCATCCTCGCCTTCCGGCGCCGGAAGGCGATCCGCGCATGGTGGCAGGAGCGGCAGGCTGGCGGCCCGGCGCCGACGCCCGTCCAAGCGAAGGCGGCTGATCAGATCGTTGCGCCGGCCGAATAGAGCCTGTCCAGAACACCTTGCAGAATGAAGGCGGCCGCGGCCGAATCGATGCGCTCGCCGCGCTTTTTCCGGCTCATGTCCTGGTCGATGAGTGCGCGCTCGGCGGCGACCGTCGACAGCCGCTCGTCCCAGAACGCATGGGGCAGGGCGATCCGGCTCGCCATGTTGCGGGCGAATGCCCGGGTCGATTGCGCGCGCGGGCCTTCGCTTCCATCCATGTTGACCGGCAGGCCCAATATGATCGCCCCCACATTGTCCTTGTCGAGTTGCGCGGCCAGCGCGCTCACGTCCGCGGTGAACTTCTTGCGGCGGATGACGGGCCGGGGATGGGCGAACGAAAGCCCGGCATCAGACACCGCAATGCCGATGGTCTTCGTACCCAGATCGATCGCGGCCAGCGTCTGGCCCTTTTCGAGCCCTTCGGCGATGGCTTCGATGGCGGTTTCCGGCATTTGCGTTCCCGGCGCGATGGACTGTGTCAGGCGCGCTTTCTAGAATGGGCCGGTCCCAATTGCGAGGAGGCAATGCGATGAAGCTCACTTGGTTCGGCCATTCCGCGTTTCGTATCGATCATGGCGATGCCCACATCCTCATCGACCCGTTCCTGTCGGACAATCCGTCATGGGGTGGCGGCTGGGAGGCGGCTGCCGACGGCGCAACCCACGTGCTTTTGACGCACGGCCACGCCGATCATATCGGCGACAGTGTCGCTATCCTCAACGCGAGCGGCGCGATGCTGGTCGCCAATTTCGAGATCTGCCGGTACCTGGTGGGGCAAGGCGCCGACGAGGCGAGCATCAACCCCGGAAACTTTGGCGGAACGGTGGATTGCGGGCCATTCCGGACGTCGTTCGTCCGTGCCGAACATTCTTCGTCCATGCCGACCGGCGACGGTCAGAACGTCTATCTGGGCAATCCGGGCGGCCTGGTGCTCGCCTTCGACGATGCGCCGAGCGTCTATCACATGGGCGACACGGACATCTTCTCCGACATGGCATTGATCGACGAGTTCCACCGCCCACAGGTGGGGCTTGTGCCGATCGGCGACCGGTTCACCATGGGCGCCTCGGCCGCCGCGCTCGCCTGCCGGCGCTACTTCAACTTCACGACGGTCATTCCGTGCCATTACGGCACGTTTCCCCTTCTCGACCAGACCGCGGACGCGTTTCTCGAAGCGATGGAGGGCGATGCCGAAACGGTGACCGTGCCGGAAATCGGCAAGCCGATCACGCTCTGACGCCGATCGGATACGGAGGACCTCAGGCCCCCGGCGCCCCGTTGCGCCGCCGACCGCGCGCCGTTATAGCGGGGCCAGCACTTTCGATTTCCCGGAGCCATCGATGTCCGTCGATACCGCCACCGTCAAACGTGTCGCCAAGCTCGCGCGCATCCGCGTCAGCGACGATGAAGCTGCCCATCTGGAAGGCGAGCTGAACGCCATTTTGGGCTTTGTCGAGCAATTGTCCCAGGTCGACATCGAAGGCGTCGAGCCGATGACATCGGTGACCGAAATGGCGATGAAGAAGCGCCAGGACGCCGTCACCGACGGCGGCAAGGCCGCCGACATCACCGCCAACGCGCCCAATTCGGAAGACAATTTCTTCCTCGTGCCCAAAGTCGTCGAATAACAGCCATTAGCGGGTTTCCCCGACACATGACCGACCTGACAAGCCTGACCATTGCCGAGGCGCGCGACCGGCTCGCCGCCAAGGATTTCACCGCCCTCGAACTGACCGACGCCTATCTGGCGGCGATCGACGGCGCCAACGGTGCCCTGAACGCCTATGTGGCGACGACCCCCGACCAGGCCCGCCGGATGGCTTCCGCCTCCGACGAACGCCGCGCAAGCGGAACAGTCGGCGCGCTCGAGGGCATCCCGCTCGGCGTCAAGGATCTGTTCGCGACCGATGGCGTCCACACCCAGGCCGGCAGTCACATTCTGGACGGCTTCAAGCCGCGCTACGAATCCACAGTCACCGCCAATCTGTGGGCCGACGGCGCGGTCATGCTCGGCAAGCTGAACATGGACGAGTTCGCGATGGGCTCGTCCAACGAGACGTCGTATTACGGCCCCGTTGTCAATCCGTGGCGCGCCAAGGGCTCGAACGTGGATCTGGTGCCCGGCGGCTCGTCCGGCGGCTCGGCCGCCGCCGTCGCCGCCCATCTTTGCGCCGGCGCCACCGCCACCGATACGGGCGGCTCGATCCGCCAGCCGGCCGCCTTCACCGGCACGGTCGGCATCAAGCCGACCTATGGCCGTTGTTCGCGCTGGGGCATTGCCGCTTTCGCGTCCTCGCTCGACCAGGCGGGCCCGATCGCCCGTGACGTGCGCGATGCGGCGATCCTGCTCAAGTCCATGGCCAGCGTCGACGCAAAGGACACGACCAGCGTCGACCGCCCGGTTCCAGACTACGAGGCGGCGCTTGGCGGTTCGGTGAAAGGCATGACGATCGGGATCCCGGCCGAATACCGGATGGACGGCATGCCGCGCGAGATCGAAACGCTCTGGCAGCAAGGCATTGCGTGGCTCAAGGACGCTGGCGCCGAGATCAAGCCGATCTCGCTGCCGCACACCAAATATGCGCTGCCGGCCTATTACATCGTCGCGCCGGCGGAAGCCTCGTCCAATCTGGCACGCTATGACGGCGTCAAATACGGCCTGCGCGTGCCCGGCAAGGACATCGTCGAGATGTACGAGAACACGCGCGCGGAGGGTTTTGGCGCAGAGGTCAAGCGCCGCGTGATGATCGGCACCTATGTGCTGTCAGCGGGCTATTACGACGCCTATTACCTGCGCGCCCAGAAGGTCCGCACGCTGATCAAGCGCGACTTCGAGACGGTCTTCGGCGACGGTGTCGACGCGATCCTGACGCCGGCGACACCGTCGGCGGCCTTCGGCATTGGCGATCAGGACATGGCCGCCGATCCGGTGAAGATGTATCTCAACGACATTTTCACGGTCACGGTGAACATGGCCGGGCTTCCCGGCATCGCCGTGCCGGCCGGGCTCGACGGGCAGGGGCTTCCACTTGGCCTCCAGCTGATCGGCAAGCCGTTCGACGAGGAAACTCTGTTCCGCACCGCGCATGTGATCGAACAGGCGGCGGGGCGCTTTGAACCGGACAAGTGGTGGGGTTGAACCGGCCAGTTGAACCTGAATATAGTGGTCGCCACGCTTTCAATAAAAGTGCGACGGGGCGATGAACAAACAAGAATTGATCGATCAGGTTGCCGCAAGCACGGGCCTTTCCAAGGCTGAAGCAACGGCCGCCGTCGATGCCGTTTTCGCAACCATCGCGCAGGAGATGGCCAGCGGCGACACCGTGCGGGTTCCCGGTTTCGGCAATTTCGGCGTGGCGGACCGCGCTGCCCGCCAAGGGCGCAATCCGGCGACCGGAGAGCCTTTGGCCATCCCGGCCAGGCGGCTGCCGAAGTTCGGGCCGGCCAGGACGCTCAAGGATGCGGTGAACGACGAAAACACCGGCATCATGTCGGTCGGCAAGGGCACGACACCTCCCTGACATCCGCAAGGGTCCGGACATGGATTTCAGCAAGATCGTTGGCCTGTTCGACCGTGAGTTCTTCGTCGGCTATCTCAATCCCGTTCTGATAGTCGGGTTTCAGCTGTTCATCATCGGTCAGGTGTTCCAGACCGACCTTTTGTTCGGTCTGGTCGATGGGCTGGACCAGTTGGTGACGGTTGCCGCGGTCGCGCTGATCGCGGTTTCGCTGTCGGTCACGTTGATGATTGCCGGTCCGCTGTCCCTTCTGTTTGTTCAGGGATATGTTCTGGAAGGCGTGACCGACGGCATGGCGCTCATCGCGCGGCACCGTGACCACTATCGCCTGCGGCTGAAGCCGGCGGTGGAGTTCCAGGAGCGCATCGACAAAGCGCGCGCTACCGGCAAGAAGGAGCCCGCACCGACCGATCCGGCAGGTCATCAGGCGCGCATGCGCGAGGCCGTGGAGAACTACCCCGAAAATCCCGACAACTTCCTGCCTTTCATGCTCGGCAACGTCTTGCGTGCAGGAGAGGTTCATCCGCGCGTTGTCTACGGGCTCGATGCGGTGGGATCGTGGGAGCGCCTGCAACCGCTTTTGCCCGAGGCAATGAGCGCCATCGTCGCCGGCAGCCGGTCGCAGCTTATGTTCTTCGTCAATCTGTTCCTGCTCAGCCTGGTTTCGTTCGTCGCGCTCGTGTGGCTGTGCTTGCGCGCCGGTGACCTGGAGACCGGTTTCGTCGCGATCGCCCTGGCGCTGTTTGGTCTCTGGGCGATCCTGAGGCTGACCCGCCTTGCCGGTCGCTCTCACATGCGGTCCGTGGCGGCCTGCTACGATCTCTATCGCTCCAAGCTCGCCGATCAGTTGGGTCTTGCCATGCCGTTGAACGCCAGTGAGGAACGGGCCATGTGGATCGACGTCTCCCGCGTCTTCCAATACCGCTCTGCCAAGGCCTGGGAGCGCTTGGACGCCTATCGAAAATCGCCGGAGCCGGAAGAACCGGACAATCAGGACAAGCCGAAATCCTAGAGCGGCCACAGGCGCAAGACCGGGGCCGAATGCGAAACCGCAATCGGCCCCCGGTATCATCTGTCAGCGATTGTCGAGCTGGCTGCGCACAAGGCCAAGCCCGCGCCGCGTGATGCGGTAGGCGCCGCCATTGAGCGAGCGGATCGCCTTGCGGCGCTTGAGCTTGCGGAACAGTCCGACATCGAGCCCGGGATAGCGCCACCCCTCGCGGGTGAAGCAGTCCACATGAACGAAACGCTTGTGAGCCTTGATGGCCTGAATGTGCCCGCCTTGCGCGAGCAGGTGGAGAATGCGCTGTTCGGCGCGTGAAATGTCCATGGTTCTGAGGTCCGGAAATGCGGCCGTCTGGCCGCAGACAAAGGCAAGCCGCCCGGCGGGCGGCCGGTTGCTCTCTTGTCTGGCCCTGATCGTCTTGCGACGGTCAGGGCACTACCGGGTCTCGGTGGAACCGAACATGAAAACTCCTGATGGGCGGGCATATAAGCGGCGGCATCGCGCCTGTAAAGGTGCGAGGTCAACGTCACGCCGCGGCGGTCACCAAGCAAAAAAAGACCGGGCTCATCGAACGATGAAAGCCCGGCCAGTCGGTTGGGAGAGATGAAACTTTCTAGGCGTGTTGAAGCTTCTCGGCTTCGATATCGTGCTTGAGCCGCTCGAACAGGTCGTGGTTGCGGCAATAGCCGGGCGCCTCTTCGGCTCTGTCATGGCCGGCCAGCCACTTCTCGCAGGCATCGGGCTCGGCGCACGTCATGCAGCGGTTGGCGGCGCGGCGCAGCACATTGGCATGATCGGCCCGGCTCTGCAGCGCATCGCGCGCATCGACCGTGTCGATCATCTTTTCCATCAGGTCCGCCTTGCGGATCATGCGCCGGTACATGGCCAGAAGAGACATGGTTGTTACTCCCTTTCGACCAAAAATGAGGCGATTCCGACGGGCCGGCTTTGACTTCGATCAAGCGTTCTGCGCGTGCGGACTGTGCCCTTCGGTGCGGTGCCGGCCCTTGCGGGCAAGGCCCGCTTGGACTAACGAGCGGTGTGGATTTCCCTTCCCCGTTTGACCGAGAAACCGACCGACATGACGCTCGTTGACACACGCACGCCCGATCCCAAACGCCTGATCGCCGGCGCCACAGGCGACTGGGAGATCATCATCGGCATGGAGGTGCACGCGCAGGTCACCTCGCAGTCCAAGCTTTTCTCGGGCGCCTCGACCTCGTTCGGTGCCGAGCCCAACGCCAACGTGTCGCTGGTCGACGCGGCGATGCCGGGCATGCTGCCGGTGATCAACCAGGAATGCGTCCGCCAGGCGGTTCGCACCGGTCTCGGCCTGAAGGCCGAGATCAACAAGAAGTCGGTCTTCGACCGCAAGAACTATTTCTACCCGGACCTGCCGCAGGGCTACCAGATTTCCCAGTTCAAGCAGCCCATCGTCGGCGAGGGCACCGTGCAGGTCGCCGTCGGCCCCGACAAGAAGGGCGAGTATGAAGAGGTCGAGGTCGGCATCGAACGGCTGCATCTGGAGCAGGATGCCGGCAAGTCGATGCACGACCAGCATCCGACCATGTCCTATGTCGACCTGAACCGCTCGGGCGTCGCGCTGATGGAGATTGTCTCCAAGCCCGACATGCGCTCGGCGGACGAAGCCAAGGCCTATCTGACCAAGCTGCGCCAGATCCTGCGCTATCTTGGCACCTGCGACGGCAACATGGACGAGGGGTCGATGCGCGCCGACGTCAACGTGTCCGTCCGCCGGCCGGGCGCCGACTTCGGCACGCGATGCGAGATCAAGAACGTCAACTCGATCCGCTTCGTCGGTCAGGCGATCGAGTACGAGGCCCGTCGCCAGATCGCCATCCTCGAGGATGGCGGCTCGATCGACCAGGAAACGCGCCTGTTCGATCCGGGCAAGGGCGAGACGCGGTCGATGCGCTCCAAGGAAGAAGCGCACGACTATCGCTATTTCCCGGACCCCGACCTGTTGCCGCTGGAGTTCGACGACGCCTTCATCGAGGAACTGGCCGCCGACCTGCCCGAACTGCCCGACGACAAGCGGGCCCGTTTCATGGCCGAGGGCCTGACCGCCTATGACGCCTCGGTGCTGGTCTCCGAAAAGGCCGTTGCCGACTATTTCGAGCAGGTCGTCGAGGGCCGTGATGCCAAGACGGCGGCCAACTGGGTGATCAACGACCTTCTGGGCGCCTTGAACAAGGCCGGTCAAACCATTGACGAGACTCCCGTTTCGCCTGACCAGCTCGGGGCGATCATCGACCTGATCAAGGAAGGCACGATATCGGGCAAGATCGCCAAGGAACTGTTCGAGATCGTCTGGTCGGAGGGTGGCGATCCGGCTCGCGTCGTCGAGGAACGCGGCATGAAGCAGGTCACCGACACCGGCGCCATCGAGGCCGAGGTCGATGCCGTCATCGCTGCCAATCCCGACAAGGTCGAGCAGGCCAGGGAAAAGCCGAACCTTGCGGGTTGGTTCGTCGGCCAGGTGATGAAGGCGACCGGCGGCAAGGCCAACCCGCAGGCCGTTCAGGCGCTTGTGAGGCAGAAGCTCGGGATCAATGAATGACATCGTCGTCCGGCCGGCCCTGCCGGCCGACATCGATGCGATCATCGCGCTGACCAATGCCAGTTGGGCGCGGACCTACGATCCGCTGATCGGCGCCGACGCGCGCAAGGCGGCGTGCGAGGCCAAACATGTCCTGACGCTTTTTGCGGCAGAAATCGGCAGCGATTCGGGTGTCTGCCTGGTGGCCGAGGCGCCCGATGGCGCGCTTGTCGGTCACGCCGGCGGAACGCTGCGCGACGATGGCACGCTCTACATCGACCGTCTGCATGTGGTCCCCGCCGCGCAGGGCACCGGCCTTGCCGCAAGGCTGCTGGACGCCGCGGCCCGCGCCCCCGGGGACTGCGTGACGGCCATCGAACTGCAAGTGCTGATCGGCAACGACCGGGCATTGGCCTTCTATCGCAGATACGGGTTTGCCGAAGTCAGGCGGCGCGGCCCCGAACACGGGCTTGGCGGTGTCGGCGACATCGTCATGCGGCGCGTGTGGCCGTGACGGACGCAAATGAAGGCCGTGAGCCTCACCCCTTGTCATTTGGCGGCAAAATGGCAAGGATGCGCCCGCAAACCGCCCGAGAGGACGAGACCCAAGCGATGTGGATCCGCACCGCGTCCACCGAAGACCTCGAAACGATCTCCGCCATGCTGACCGAGACATGGCATGACACCTACGATCAGATCTATGGCCGCGAAAAAGTGGCCGAACTGACCGGCGCCTGGCATTCGGTGGCGGCCCTCAAGCAACGCATGAACAAGCCCCGTTCGGAGTTCATCGTCTGCGACGATGGCGCCGAGATATCGGGCATGGCCTATGTCACCCAGGTCGACGGCGAGACATCCATGCTGCACCAGCTCTATGTGCGCCCGACCACCCAGGGGCAGGGCATCGGCCAGAAGCTTCTGGTCGAGGTCGAGGCCTGCTTCCCCGATGTCCGCAAGATCCGCCTCGAGGTGGAGGAAGCCAATGAGCGCGCCGTCAAATTCTATGGCGACAACGGGTTCAAGAAGGTCGGCACGACGCCCGATTGCGGCGTCAAGGGCTCCGGCATCCCCGCCGTGATCATGGAAAAGGTGATCTGGTAGCGAGCCGGGCGATTCGCGGTTTTTCTGCGCCAGTAACGATCAGATGTATTGGACGCTGACGCTTTTTCCACAGCGTTGATCGTGCATTTTTCAGAAGATTCAAAGAACTAGAAAAGTGTTGCGAAGATTCCGCGTCATCCGTTGATCGATATTCGATATGTGCTCAAATCACCAAGTGAGCGGGGCTACATATGATCAACATTACCAGAATTGTTCCGATTGTCTTTTTTCTAAGCGCGTGCAACGCCAACTTTCAAATCCCGTCAATCCAGTACGCTGACGATGATTACATAATCGGTCGAGCTGGTTGGATTTTTGGGGTCGATTGTCCAGAACAGGAGATGAACGGGGCAGAACGGTGTCCGGAAAGGTATGCACCGAAACCAAGGACGATCGGTGAGATCAAGAGGCACGCCGAGCAGATCAACGGAATGAACGCGATTATACCAGCGGCGAATTCAGCCGAACAACAAGGCAATGGTGTCGGGTCAGTCACCAGTGCCTCAGAAGTGCTGGTTGACAGCACTTTGCGCAATTCGGTTCAAACACTTCTGATGATGCACGCAGATGAAGTCTGCAGCAATTATCAGTACCGATTGCTTGGCACGGTGGTTGGTGCGCGGATCGGCGCAAACGCGTTGGACCAGGCTATCGGGTTGCTGGCAGGCGTTGTCACAGGTTCCCTTGCGAGTGAGTTTCTCGGGCAAGTGCGTGGGGCGTTCAGCTCATCAGCTGGTTTTCTCGATGACGACTTTCTGAAAGCCTCCTTTTTCTTGAGAGAGTTCGAAGGTGTTCAAAAGCGCAAGCGCATCATGAAGAGCATAATATTGGTTGCTCAAAGCTATCCGCTGAAAGCACCCGACCCCGCCGTTGGTAAGGTCAACGAAAGATACTCGATGATGGAAGCGATATCAGACGCGGCAGCATATCACCGGATATGCGACATCGGATATATCTTGGCGGCAGGAAGCGAGCTCGACAATGCACAAAAACACCTGTTTGCTTGGCGCTTCAGCGGTGAATTTAGCCAAATGGCCCGCGCTGGCGATCTTCCGGAGAACTAAAGGTCTGTAGCAAAAAATCCCGCACTCACCACTCCATCAGTGTTCCGCCGTCCGGATCGTAGACCTGCACCACCGCGCATTCGATCAGATAGGGCCGCGCGTCGCGGTCGCACAGCGCTTCGCCCACATTTCGGGCAATCTGTTCGTCCGGCAGACCGCACACCACCTCGTGCCAGTGCGGGCCTTCGGAGTGCTGCAGGAAGACATCGACGCTGAAGCCCGCCGGCTCGCACCAGTTGGTCCTGATGCAGTCTTCCTTGAGCGCGCCCGATTCCATGCATTGCGCCACCGCCTTGCCGAACGCTTCCTCCATCGTCGCGCCAATGGCCACGCCGCTGCCCTGTTCGGGCGCCTGAACGAAGGCGATGCCATCGGCAAGGGCGGGCGTGATGGCCAAAAGGCCGGCGAATGCTGTGCCAATAAGCGTTTTGGTCCGGGCGGTCATGGACGTCTCCTCAATGTGATCGGCGCGCACTGTTCGCGCGCACCATAGCGGCCTAAGGTGACGGCGCGAACTGATCCTTTGAGGAAAACGCCATGCGCCGGTTTCTGGCGATCGCCATCCCCGTCTTCGCGCTGGGCTTTGTGTGCGGCGCGGCGGCCTGGTACCTGTTCTCGCCGCTGATCATCGATGAGGTCGTCTCCGAGGAACTGCCGGCCGGGCTGGTCGTCACGGAGGTCGCCAGCGGCCAGTTCCGGGACGCCGACCGCGCCCATCGCGGCACCGGCAATGCCCAGCTTCTGGAAACGGGGACCGGCGCGCATCTTCTGCGCTTCACAGAATTCGAGGTCACCAATGGTCCCGATCTCGAAGTGTGGCTGGTCGCCGAACCCGATCCGCAAACGTCAGGCGATGTGACCGCCAGCCAGTGGCTGTCGCTGGGCCAGCTCAAGGGCAATGTCGGCGACCAGACCTATGTGATCCCGGAAGGAACCGACATTTCCGCCTATGGCTCGGTCGTCATCTGGTGCGAGCAGTTTTCGGTGCTGTTCTCTCCTGCAACGCTCGAATTTGCGACGGAAGGCTGACAATGTCCGAGACGATCATCCGCAATCCCGGCAATCGCGATCATCTCGCCCGAATCCGGCCGCTCGGCCGGACGGTGACCGTGACGTCCGGTGGAGCGACGCTAGCCCGGTCGGACGCCGCGTTCGTCCTCGCCGAGGAAGCACCCCGGTACGGCAAGCTGCCCGAGGTCATCTACATTCCGTCCGCCGATGTCAGCGGGCTGACGCCCGTCGAAGGCAAGTCGACCCGTTGTCCGCTGAAGGGCGACGCGTCCTATCTCGCCCTTGATGGCAGGGAGGTGGCATGGACCTATGATCGCTGCATCGACGGAGCGGACGTGCTGTCGGGCTACATTGCCTTCTATGCCGACCGGGTGGCGATCGAGACGCAAAGCGCGGCCTGACGCCGGATGCCTCCCTTCGTCCCTCTTGCAATGCGTTTTGTGCGGCGCCATAACCGCGCCAGACGGACAAGGCGAACCCGATGAAAACCTTCCTGACGCAATTCTTCACATGGTGGAACGGCCAGACGCTGGGCACGCGTTTTTTCACCTGGCGCCATGGCACGCGGGTCGGTGAGGACGAGTTCGGCAATGTCTATTACACCGGCGGCACCGATGCCGATGGCGCCACGCGGCGCTGGGTGATCTATAACGGCTACGCCGAAGCATCGAGCGTTCCGCCCGGATGGAGCGGCTGGCTCCATCACCGGGTCGACACGCCGCCCAGCGAGGAAGACTATACGCCGCGCGAGTGGCAAAAGCCCCATCTGCCCAACCTGACCGGTTCGTCCGCCGCCTACCGGCCCAAGGGCTCGATGCTCAATCCCGAGACACGGCCCGTCACCGACGGCGATTACGACGCCTGGACCCCGGGCAGCTGACCCGACCGCTCCACTGGTTAATCAATTATTGACCCTGTTTTGGCCATAAGCGGCGGTTAGCCCGCGTGCCATGAAGAGAAGCGCATCGATGAATCGCCGGGGACCGGTCCGATCGGGATTGAAGCGGCTTGTGCCGGCACTGATGCTGGGCATGCTCGCCACGTCTGCCGCTGCCCAGCAGGCCGGTGAACCGGCGGCCAAGACGGCCAATCCGGTCGCCGAGTTTTCCGGCATCGACAAGATCACCGGCCGCATCATCACGTTCGACGTCTACATCGACGAGACGGTGCAGTTCGGCGCGCTGCAGATCACGCCGCGCGTGTGCTATTCGCGCGCCCAGAATGCGCCGCCCGGTTCGTCCACATTTGTCGAGGTCGATGAGATCACGCTCGACCGGAAGATCCGCCGCATCTTCTCGGGCTGGATGTTCGCCGACAGCCCCGGCCTGAACGCCATAGAACACGCGGTCTATGATGTGTGGCTGAAGAGCTGCAAGGCCGAATCGGACGTTCCGCCGCCGCAGTCCTGAGCCATTTCAGCGCGGTTCAATCGAACCTGGCGGTGCCGACGAGCGCCTCCGCAAGCATATGCTCATATTCGGCGCGCGGCACATCCACCGCTCCGAAACGCCTGAGATGATCGGTGGTGAACTGCGTGTCCAGCAGCGCAAAGCCGCGCTCCTTCAGGCGTTCGACCAGATGCACGAGGCAGATCTTCGAGGCATCCGGGCGGCGCGAGAACATGCTCTCGCCGAAAAAGGCCCGGCCCAGGGATACGCCGTAGAGACCGCCGACGAGCTGGTCGTCGTCCCACGCTTCCACCGAATGGGCGTGGCCGAGCCGGTGCAGGTCCGTATAGAGCGACAGGATCGTTGCGTTGATCCACGTCTTGCGGCGTCCCGGCGCCGGCTCCGCACAGGCGCGGATCACCGGACCGAAGGCGGCGTTGAAGGTGACATGATAGCGCGCCTGCCGGACGGTCTTGGCAAGGCTCCTCGGCACATGAAACCGGTCGAGCGGAATGATGCCGCGCATCTCCGGCTCGACCCAGTAGAGCGTCGGATCGCCGGCGTCCTCGGCCATCGGAAACAGCCCGACCGAATAGGCTTTCAGCAGCACCTGCGGCGTGATACGGCCCTCGCCATTGCCGTCACGCCCGATCATCGGATCCGCCGTCGGCCGATTGGAGGCGGGGTAGCGCGCACGCGTCAGGTGTCTTCCGCCTGCCGGGCGAGATATTTTTCCAGCCAGTGGATGTCATAGTCGCCATTGGCGATGTCCGGGTTTTCCACCAGGTCCTGAAACAGCGGCAGCGTCGACGAAATCCCGTCGATGACGAACTCGCCCAGCGCGCGCCGCAGCCGCATCATGCATTCGACGCGGTTGCGCCCATGCACGATCAGCTTGCCGATCAGACTGTCATAATAGGGAGGGATCGCATAGCCGGCATAAACGCCCG